TGGCCTGGGTTTTCCCCGAGTGTAGACGCCACCCTGCTGCTGGGGTGACGACCAGCAAAGCAACCTTATTTAAATGTACACCTCCAGGCACAGCTGAAGGAAGCAGTGCTAGGGGATCGAGGAGTGTCAGATCCAGAGCAGCAGCCAAGAAAGGAAGGATGAGGCTCTGACCCTTAAGAGAATAAGAGACCCTAAGAGGCTAAGGGCTGTGTGACCTAGAGCAGCTTACTTTCCTTCTCTGAGCCATTTCCTGATCCTTCTAACATGAAACGAGGTGACCTGAATGAAGTTCATCTGTGCATTCTATGAGACTCCCCTTACCTGACCCCTTAGCTTGTAACTCTACAGAATTATGCAAATTGTGACAAATACCCATTAACTGGAATCCAAACTTCACAACAACTGTATGAGGTCATTCCCAGGGCCCCCATCTTTCAGAAGCAGAGGATAACAGGTAGTTTCTCATCTTGGTCACTGAGATTGTTAGGTGGTAAGGCTTACCTGTCACCGGTGTTGGGGTCTGTCACGCCTTCTGCCTGGCAAATCCCAACTCTAACAGTGTAGAAGATGCAGTCGAACCTCAACCACTGGCTTCCGGCTGAAGGAGGTGATCCAACTCAAATCACAAGTCCCACCCTACAGGTCACCAGGGTCACTGCCCTCCCACCCTGTCCCCACGCCCTTCCCCTGAACCACAAGGACACAGGAGACAGTCTTCTGCAGGGGCAGGAACCAAGCTTCTCCATTCTTTGGCCAAACACCATTCACTGGGGCTCCCCAGCAATATTAATAGGTTCCAATTATATAATCGGTAATAATAACACAGCTATTAACACACATGATCTCATTTCATTTTGGGGATGCAAATACTGAAGCCATTTCAAAGTGGTCAATGATCTGGTCAGGGAGCTGCTTCCTGGTGATGTTAATGGCCAATTCCACTTTTAATACATGACAGTGTGCTCTGCCCATGAGGTTAGACTATCAACTCTCTGTAACTGGTTGGACTTTCTTTCTTAGCAGGTATATGTTTTGCCTATTTAAAAGAAAAATTAACAACTCTGAGAAATGGTCTCCATCTTGGATTTGGGCAAGGTATCCTTCAGCAAGAATTTTGTCAC